TCAAATACATAATTATTTGTGTAATTACAAAGATTTCTTGAGTGTTAGAAAGAAAAAACTGGCGAAGCACATGAAGTTTCTGGATCGAGCTAGCGTAGAGACAAAATATATCTAGAGTAGCCAAAAGAGATTTTCATGCAGGAGTTATCCATTTTGACAAGTCTTATGCTTCCTTAAGATATAGCTATTTTACAGTTTGCTAAAAATTGTTGGGAAATTTCGTAGATTTCAGTTTGGAAATATATCTGATACCAAAAAGTTGCCACAATTGCTCACCAATTGAAGGTTTAAGTATTCACAAAGAATCGAATATAATCTATATATTAAAGGGAGAGATCTTCGACCCCATTAAGTATATATATTCTTGATCAGCATCAATAGCTGAGTCGATCTCATCATGTCTATCTGTCTATCCGTCTGTCAACTTGTCCGTCTGTCCAATTGTCCGTCCGTTCGTCAGTCCGTTTGTAAGTATGGTCGCAAGGAACTCAGAACTTATAAGGTAGGTTATATTTATAATCTTATCAACATCGGACCAGTATATATATATAGCTGCCTTAGGGAAGATCGGTCAAAAAGTAAATTCTTATATGGCAAAATATTCTATTTTCAAAGATATTTGAGTTTTGTCAAAGTCAGCATTCACAAGCTTTACTATTCTCATATATATCTGCAAAAGGGAAATGTCTAAAAGTGTATTAAATACTCGGCTTGCCGCAGATATCCTTACTTGCTCGATTTATATTATTTATGTATATATATTTATAATATATTAATTTTAGATAAAGTAAATATCTCCATTTGATTTGCGAGTTATTCTTTTATGCTCTTAGCCGACAGCTTTAATGCTCTATAATTTTGTTGCTTGTGCTTTTTCAATGGAATCTTTTTGATCTACAATAATGTTGCCTCCCTCGAAGTGGGACAGTTCCACATTTGTAAAATACTCCGGTCCCAATCATGGCGAACAGTGCCTCCCATTGAGTGCGCACGCAGCGTTACCTGAAGATGATCTTCAAGATGAACATTCTCATTGTTGTTGTTGTTGCTGTTGTTGTTGCTATGCAAATTGCAATTATTTTGTGTGTAGTTATGTGAAAATTTATTGTTTATGCTTAGAACAAAAGTTTGAGCTGCGCTTTGGCAGGCATTGTCTTTATGTTTTTTTTTTTCTTTCTGCTGGAATCTCTTTCACTTTGAGCGCTGTGGGGCCTTTTGTTTTCTCTGCAGACTTTTCTGCTTTTTTTTGTATTTTTTTGCTCTATCATCAACTGGTTTTGGGTTACGTGCACGCAGAGAACCGAAACCCACTCAGCTCTACGAGAGATGCTGCAGCGATCACATAATTCGTGTTGTTCTCGTTGTTGTTGCTGTTGTTGTTGTTGTTGTTGTTGTTGCCGGCTGGCTCATCATTCTTGTGCTTTTCCGCACAGCTCAAAGTCTTTGCTTTTTGTGGCAAGTTATTTTTATCAGCAGCATTTTGCTGCCGTTGCATGCAGCACAGCCAATGCCACAGGCTGAGCCCGCTAAAGCTGTTGCCGCAGCTGCCCCTTGTCGCCTGTCGAGCTGCCGCATCAGACTTGTGTCTGCCGTCCAGAGGTCCCAAGACGCTTTTTATCGGCATACCTTCTCCTTTCTGTTGTTGTCTTAAGCCTCTCTGGGCTGCCGTGTTGTGTATCTATAAAGACAACAACGGACTCCTTAGCCAGGCCAGCAGCAGCAACAACAACAACAACAACAGCAGCAACAACATCACGATCTTTAACATGTTTTGTCTCGATCAGTGAAATCATTCAATCAGAACGGTCAGCGCTTTGGCAGCTCCGGTCGTTGCCAGGACACACACACACAGATACACACGCACACTCACACATCATGCCGCATTATATAAGGCTAAGCCAGAAAAAAGCTGGTTGAGCAACTCTTCTCTGAAAGTGTTTACGGCCAAAAGCTTCACCCACAATTAATAAACTGTTGCACACGGTAGCCAAAGCCATTTATGATACTTTATCAAAAAACACACACACACACACGCACACACACAAATCAAATGAAGCGTCCACAGTTTGGCCAAGGAGTCTGGACATTCTGCGGAGCTCGGATTTTTATTTATGCACCTCGTCGAGCTTGGCCATAAAGCATGTTTTTAAAATTCCATTAAAATTTATTAGCATTTCACACAAACTCTGCATAAATAACAAATTTCGGTACTTTGATACGAGCCCCAAATCAAAAAACAAGAAAAAATCCAGAAAGCAAGGCACGCCGAACTTTAAATACCCTTGCAGATTTGTGAAACGATTTGTGAAGCTCGCAACTGCGGAACTTTCTTAATTAATACATACATACATGCATACATACATACATACATGCATGCATGCATACATACATACATGCATGCATGCATACATACATACATGCATGCATGCATACATACATACATGTATGCACATATACATACATGCATACATACATACATGCATACATACATACATACATTCATTCATACATACATGCATACATACATACATGCATACATACATGCGAACATGCATACATGCATACATACATACAGACATACATGCAGACATACATGCAGACACACATGCACACATACAGCATACATACATGCATGCACATATACATACAAGCATACATACATGCCTACATGCATATGTACATACATGCATACATGCATACATACATGCATTCATGCATACATGGATACATACAACCATTCATTCATATATGCGTACTTACATCCATGCATAAAGACACACTCACACACACATGTCCATATCGACGTACCTTATGTTCTCACAGAAGTCTCTTTCCATGCCCAACACAATGCATGACAAAATTATAATACCCTTACCATATACCCTATAAAAACAGTGGCCCCCCTTTAATGATAAAAAATTGGATAAGGCCAAACCAGAGCCGCGTCTCCACTTCCAACAAAATTTATGTGTGCGTGTTGCGTTTAATTGGAACGCTGTGTGCGTGCGTGTGTGTGTGCGTGTGTTTATATGCGTGAAGTTGTGCATAAGTCGATAAACAATTTACGCAATGCACTGTTTGCTTTGCTGCTTTGTTTATGTACGCATTATCTAAACAAATACGAAAATAATGCATTAAATGCAGCGCATAAAACACGAAATTAGAGTTAATGCGCGTTCGTCTACTTTCGACTCGCACTGTGCGCAGCGCGCGCGCGCTCCACTTTGACGAGGCGACTCGCGCAGCTCAAAGTTGAGGCCTACGCGACGGCGACGTCAGCCGAACAAAAGGGCAACAAGTGCAAACGGCTGCTCTCTCGCGGGTGACTAGAGTGTGAGAGTGTTCCCAGTATTTCTCACGTCCAGAACCAACCAGAAGCAGCGCACACAATTCCTGCGCCCGGCCTTTCTTTTTCTTTTTTTTTTTGCTGCTTCTTTTCTTCTTTTTGTATTCTTGTTCTTTTGTTTGCTTTGGCTGCTTGGCATGCATAGCACATAAGCCGCTGCCGCTGCTGCTGCGCAGTCGCGTCGTGATTCCGATTCCTGGCGCACCTATAAATGACAGCTTCTATGGCCATTTCACTTTTAGTCTTGAGCTGTTGACGCAGGCGCAATGAACTGCTGTAAGTTGAACTGCGGCAGGCACCGCCAGTGTTGACTAACACTCTCCATTTGTCTAGTTCTGTTTCTGCTGCTGCAGCTGCTGCCGCTGTTGGCCGCGGCCAATACCATCAAGGAGCGCAATCTGTTTGCCACCGAACTGTTCCAGACACTGGCCACCGATCGCCAGGAGGAGAACGTGATCATCTCGCCGGTTTCCGTGCAGCTGGCCCTGGGCCTGGCCTACTACGGGGCGGAGGGCAGAACCGCAGCCGAGCTGCAGCGCACGCTGCACGCCTCGGCCACGGAGAGCAAAGATGGCCTCGCCGAGAGCTATCACCGCCTGCTGCACTCGTACATCAAGTCGAAGACAGTGTTGGAAATCGCCAACAAGGTGTATACCCGGCAGAACGTGACGGTGGCGCCGCATTTCCGCGAGGTGGCCGACAAATATTTCGACTCGGAGGTGGAGGGCCTCAACTTTGACCAGGAAGCGGAGGCGGTGCAGCGCATCAATAGCTGGGTGAAGGAGAAGACGCAGGGCAAGATCGAGCGTGTGGTGGACAACCTGGAGCCGGACACAAATGTGGCCCTCATCAATGCCATCTACTTCAAGGCGCGCTGGGCACGCCCCTTCAACGACGAGGACACCAAGGAGCGCGACTTCTGGCTGAGCGAAAATCAGGCCATCCAGGTGCCCACCATGTTCGCGGACAACTGGTACTACTATGCCGACTATCCGGAGCTGGACGCCAAGGCCATTGAGCTCTTCTTCGAGAACATCAACATGACCATGTGGTTCATATTGCCCAACAAGCGGACGGGCCTGCAGCAGCTGGAGCAGCAGCTGAAGGGCGTCGACTTCAAGCTGCTGGAGGATCGCTGGCAATGGCAGAGCGTGGCCGTCTACTTGCCCAAGTTCAAGTTCGAGTTCGACACCGATCTGAAGCCCACTTTGAAAAAGGTTTGTTCTGCCTAGGATTTGCTCTTGACTTCTTTGTAAACCACTTCCTCCCATTCCCCAGCTGGGCATCAAGGCCATGTTCTCGGATGCGGCTGATTTCAGCAACATCTTCGACGATTCGCCCATCGGCACGCGCATCACCAAGTTGCAGCACAAGACCTTCATCGACGTGAATGAGATCGGCTGCGAGGCAGCCGGCATTAGCTGTGAGTTCCTCCCCCCCGCACACCTTTATATCCTTTACTCTATAGATCCTGTTCTCCTTAGATGCCGCCGGTGTGCCCATGTCCCTGCCGCTGGACCCGAAGACCTTCGTCGCCGATCATCCATTCGTGTTCATCATACGCGATCAGCACGCGGTCTACTTTACCGGACACATCGTCAAGTTCTAGACCTAGCCTTAAGCAGATATTCCCGCAGCTCTCTATGCAGAGCTCTTAAAGTACCATATCATTTTATAATATACTTGAACTTGAATAAATGTAAAACATTTTCTATAAACTTCATTTAAAACTCAAAAGTTTTGCACTTGGGCACCACGAGTTTGGGACACTTTCCCTCCGAATAGAAGACCAGAGCTGTTCGGAGGATTCGAACTCTTTTGTGAAATTGCGCAACTGATATTCTATATTTTCGCTATAACTTACGTCCCAATCCTCGCTGCTCGCGCGCACAGTTCAGGATCTCCAGATCGTCCTGCGATATGTTCAAAAAGCATCCAAAGTAGGCGCACACCTTGAGGCGCGGCAATTCGCTTCTGCATATAGGACTTAGAGCCGTTGTCAGGCCTGGAAGCAAGTGCTCTCTATTAATATACGAACTAGATTAATTAATGAATATATGATCTATATTAATATGAGATAAGTTAACTTTAGCCTGTACAGACCCAGAATTGACAGCAGCAACAGAATGATCTTCATCTTGGGATATGCTATGAAGAACTCCACTTGAAAACCTTCCAAGTCGGCTATGTCGCATATTCCATGGTTGATTTAATTTTAAAATCGATTTTACACGGCTGGTTAGGGTATTGAATTTTTCACACACGTTTAATTTTTGGGCATGCTAAAAATAAATACAAACAGCCATAATTTTGTTTTAAATTATGCATCGTCGCTTTACGTGTGACCCAAAAAAAAAAGAGGCCCCAACAAAAGGTAAAAAAAAATCAGAAAGAAACTTAAAAAAAGATAAGCCCCAAGTTAAGAGTTATGTGCTCTCTTTTATATTATGCATGCAACATATTAAAAGGTTTCAATATATTTACCCAAAATACGAATTCCTAATTGATTTAAATATGTTCTTAGCATAAAAACTCATTTAAAATTTATACACTTAAGAAAATAGTAGACATTTTTGAAATTCCTATTTCATGCATTTTATTTGCTTAAGAGAATTTAATCGAAGAAATATTTAAATAGTATTTTTCTTATTTAGTTTAAGATTGAAAATTAAAAATTCATAAAATTACTTAATATAAGCATATTTAGCTTTTCATACTAAAACTTATCACGTAAATTTTCTCCTTTCCCTTTAAGGTTAAACAGTGTTGAAAAGTGCGGGTCGAGAGCGCATTCTTTTGGGCCAAGCTAAACGGTCGCTTCTTATGCCTAGCTTAAGGGGTCCACTCGAGATCAGATCGATCAGATAATGGGACTCTTAAGACATTTGTGGCATTTGTTTTAAAAGCGCCTGGGCCTGCGCCTGCAGCTGCACCTGCTGCGTCGCCTGGAAGGGGAACGGTGGCAGGGACTGGGATAGGGCGCTGGACTGTGCCCACTTGAAATTCCAGTCGAGTCGCAAAGCCAACATGAAACAAAGAAAAACTTGTCAAGCAATGCAAACAAATCTAACAAAGGGACAGGAGAAGCAGCAAAGAGGTGGGACCAGGGACGAGAGACAGACGCCGCTGTCGCTGTCGCTGCCGTCGCTGCTGCTGCTGCTGCTGACCGCAAACGAAGCGAGGGCGCGCTGCAAGAATTACAATTACAACGACAATTACATGCACAGGCAGCGCCAACACGGGCAGCGCACAGCACAAGCGTGCCCAGTATTTTATTAACCAGTATTCTCGCTCACGAGAGCAACAGCGTGAGCATGAGAGCGAGCGCGCGTTCCGTCGCTGCTGAAGTTGCATTGGCATTTGTTGTTATTTGGAGTTGGCGTCGTCGTTGGAGCCAGCCACAGTGAGAGAGTGAGAATGAGAGAGAGAGAGCTAAGCGCTGTGGCTTGTGAATGCGTAAGGTGCACAGTTGTTGGGTCGAGGATCGCTCAGTCTGTGTATTGGTGTTAAGCGAAGCAGACGAATTTCGGCGCGCGCAGAATAAACGCGTCTTTTTCATTTTCACGTATTTCGTTGTTGTGTGCGCGAAAAACTGCAGCGCGATCTGCGCAGCTGTCCGCGTCGCGTTCCCCGCGCCCCGCACCCCGTGCCCGTGCCCGTACTCTACCATTGTCGCCCACGCGTGTGTTTGCTTATCTGGCCGTCAGAATCGGTAGCTTGTTTGTTTTTGGCGCAGGCTACCTTATAAAAACGGCAGCCTTCCAGTCTTCCAGCCTGCCAGCCTTCCAGCCTGTCATTAAATGCAGCAAAAAAATACGAAATAGTTAGTGACCAGTTTGCCCGTCTCTTTCTGTCTCTCTCTATCTCTCTCTCTGTCTCGCTCTTTGCTTCTGTTTCTTTGCGTGCGTGTTTGTGTATATGTGTGCGTGTTTCTGCAGCAGTAAAAGTGGAAAACGCGCATCAATTATTTTAAATGCTCTTAAATATCTGCACGATTGGCCCACAGTGCGACAATTTCGCATCAAATGAGGCGCAGGAAAATGCTGCAATTAATTCAACGCGTTAAATTTCCCACTTGGCTGAGCTTTTCCCCCCACATATAAAGCCCAAATGGCGAGTGCAGTTCGAACCAGTTTTCTATTGAACCAAATTAACTGCACATAAATTTGTATTGGAATCTGTGTTACAACAACAACAACAACAACAAGTACAACGAAACTGAGCAAAAACAAAACAAGCTAAATCTAACCATAAACGCTTTGATTTATGTGTGATTACAAAAAACGCGACAAATAAATAAATTATAGCGAAAATAAAAGAGCGGAAAAATACAAAAAAAGGCTGCGCCTGCGTTTGGTTCCCCTTTTGCGCCCCCGCAAGCCCCGCCTCTAGCTGGCAAATTAATACGAAATATGTTCAAATCCTAATTTATGTGTGCACACACACACGCACACACACATACATACATGCATGCATATATATATATGTGTATGTATGAGTGAAATATAAATACAAATCAAGCGAAAACAAAGCAGATAACAAAACGTCTCAAAAGGATTTTTTTACTTCATTTTTTGGCCGCATTATGGATACAACAAATCAAATGCATTTGGAGCTCGAAAGGTGAGTCGAAAAGATCTCAAATGCTGATAATTAAAAACACGATTTTATTATTTACCTCATCTTTGAATTTTGTTGAAATATCTGTGAAATATTCAAGCTTATAAAATGTTTTCAATATTATATTTAAAGAGGGTTCGAATTTTATCTTCTTTTGTTAGTTTTCTATTCTTGATCAGAATCGGAATTAGTGAAGCATCGTAGCCTTGGCCTTGTACAGAAAGAGCCTGACTGAGCGATTCCCTGTACAAGCTAACTTTAGAGACATTCTTCCATATTTCAATACATATAAACATGAAACACATGTGTATCTCAGGGAAATAAGTACATGTGAGCATATTATTATTAGATCCTTTTGGATTTTGTTACCTTTTTCATACTTTTTTTAATGAATTGCCTATGCACATATTCTTATTTCCATGAGGATGTATCTAATTATGTTAATACCCAATTATTAACATAGAAACGCACGACTATTTAACTCGCATCTATTGGTAAGGAGAAACAGACATTTTGCAGTGCATAGGAAGTAAACTTAGTCTGTGTTTGGTATAGGAGAATGTACATGTATGTACACATACATAAGATGTACATACGCACATACATCCGTGTAAAAATAGGCCTCTTAGATTGCCAACATTGCTTGTTAAAGTAACACTTCACTCACCATCAGAGCATGAAGGCATGCAACGCTACTTGAATTCATGAGAATTGCATAGAAGGCGCATATATTTTTATTAAGTTTGCAAAGCAGCGATCAATTAAGTTGTTGTGCTTTTGATCTAAGATAACAAATGCAAAGACATACATTCACGCATGCACATACCTTCTTCCCATTTGTACTTATTGAAGAAATGCAAGGCTACTTGTATTCATGAGAATCGCATAGAAGGGAAACACTTTTTTAAATCTGCAAAACAGCATGCAGATAACTCGCTTTTACTTTGCGTTTTGTCTAAGAAAACATATGTAACATACCTTCCTCTCGTTTGTACTTCTCATCAATTCGTACAGGGTATTTATAGCTAAAAACTTCCAAACTACAAACTTCTCTCTGTTTTAGTATAGTTATAAATTGTACAATTAATGTTTGTTTTAGATTGCGCCATCAAAGTTTATTTGTTTTAATTTGAGTGTTGATCAAATTTGTATTCATTAAACAAAAACAAACAAATCGCATATATAATTTGCACCTCAAATTAGCTGACGGTTGTGGTTGGAGGGGGAGGCAGGCCTCTTCACACATAGGCATAGTTGGCGATGTGGCCGATAAAGACAATCGAATCTTTGTATTTAATGGCAAAGGCGAACGGATGATCCGCCTCGAATTTCTTGGTGCGCGAGAAGAAGCTCTTCAGCACTGAAAGGAGAAAAGAGCGAGGGATATTTACATTGTGCCCGTAGCTAGACAGTTTTTTGGAGCTTACCACCCGACTCTAGAGGCTGTTCCACGCCCGCTTCAGAGACCTCGACATGTGCCTTGTGCTCCACGCTGTTGATGAAGTGGCTCACGAACATGCGGTACATGTTGCCAAAGTCGCCGTTGCGCGAGAACATGGTCGTAACGCCCAGCTGGAAGATAGAAAATCAATATGGTAGATGAAGGTCACGGGTGTCCAATATCTAGTTAAGTTTTCTCCTTAATCTCTCACCTGCTTGAAGGGCTGCTCCAGGCTGACGCCGAAGGTCACACTGAACTTGGGCAGCTCCACTTCGACCTTGTGCTGACTCATGTCGCCAATCTCGCTAAGCAGATTCTTGCCCACCAGGCTCTGCTGGAGTGCACGCAGTCCGTCCTTGCGATTGGGCAGCAGCACAATCATGGAGTACTCCGCATTCTGATAGGGCAGCTCCAGGACCTTGGCATCCAGGCTGCTCACCTCGGCATAGTTGAAGTTCTGCAGCGTCCACATGGTCTCCACCTGTACGCTCTGCCCGTTGCCGGTGCGGAACGATCGTTTTTGGGTCTTGTCCAGCTTGAAGGCCTTCTGCCAGGGCGCCGCGTACGTGACGCCGTTCACAATGACGCCCTCCGTACGATCGTTGAGCAGCTCCGGCTTGAGTATGTCCGTAATCTGATTGTTCGTCTTGGTCGCAATCGCTCGATTGATGGCATCCGCCGTGCGCTTGTTGTAGGGCGGATGGAAGTCTAGCTTGTCGATGTTCGAGTCGAACTGACGCTGTGCCACATCCCGAAAGGCGCCCTTAAACTCCAGATTCTCGTTGATGTAGATATTGTTGGCCAGTCGCATATTGTTGTCACGCGTCAGCGCCTGCTGGAAGCTGCCATGCCGCTGCGACACCTGATCCGCATCGCCAATGCCCAGCCGCATGCCCTCCTTCAGCTCAATGGCCGTCTGGCCCTTGGCCCCGTAAAAGGCCAGCGCCATGGAGCTCTGTATGGCCGCGGTGCCAATCACAATGTTCTCACTGAGCCGTTCCGCACCCACCGCATTGTAGAGATCGGCGGCCAGTAGATTGCGATCGCGAGCGGCATCCACGCCCGCTAAGGTTTTGGCCTGGCAACAGCCAACGATTGCCAGGGAGACTGTAAAACGAATTGCAAGAAGGGAACATTTGTTTTAGATGGAAATATGTCTTCCATAAGTAAGAAAATGATATAGTGCCAGATCTCTTAACCCCAAAGCTCGAAAACAAATTCCAAACACTGGAAAACGAATTGCAACAAAGGAAAACTTGTGAAAAAATGATGTTTTTCGGGAGAAATAAATTCCAGTAAAATATCTAAAAAATTGTGGCTATAAAGAATTTTGTTTTAGCTAGAAATATTTCTTCTAGATTTTTACCAAAAATCAGATTGGTCTGACATTTGTCTGAACATATCAGATAGTCTGAATAATAATGAAAAAGTTCCAGATCTCTTAACCCCAAAGATCGGGGCACTTCCACAGTCAGACGGACGGACAGAAGTTGTCATCATCAAAAGCAGCTGTCACATATCTGCATATTGAACCAATATTTTGGAATAAAAATCCAATTTAATTGTGTGCTCGCTCGTGTTCTGTTTGTCTATTGAGAACCTTGATTCTGTTGTGACAGACTATAAACAGCCCATTAATTCTGTATGCCCTAGCTTTAAGGTACTATAAATGTGTCACGAAGTGTGTAACACAGTAAAAAAACGAGATATACTTTTTGAATGGGAAGAAGCGTATCTTATCTCAACTTATTCCTTATCTTTTAAATGGGAAGAACCGCATCTTATCTCAACTGATTCCTTAGCAGATCTGATCTCTCAGTTGAGATATGCTGAGATGAGATCGGATAGATCGTTTAGATCGGGCTGCTGTATTAATATAAAGCTGACATTCGAATTATATTTTCAAGATTGAGTTGCGTCTAAAACTTCTCGGAATAACTCAAGTAAACTTAACGCATGAACAGGGTATATAAATCTTCGTTCTCTTTTAGCTGCTGGCTGTTTTTTTTTTTTGGTTTATTGTAATTTTTATCAATCAAACGAGCCATAAATATTGTCACTTCGGTTTTCGTAGGCCATTGAGACTGGTTTTTGTTTATTTATGCTCGAGTACAAGTTTATAAAGATCTTATATAGCTTATATAGGCAATAATTGAGGCTTACGTAATAGGCACTGCACTGCGTTGTACAACATGATTGTCTAAATTTATATATACATATATATTTAAAGAGAAACTTTTTGCTTGATTGATAATTCGCGTCGTCGCGCGTTGAGCGTCTGAATGTGAACTGAATTTACGGCGGGCTGTGAGATGCTTTGGAGCTGCGACTACGTCTTGGATTCTCGGAAGAGCTAAACACCACTTAGCTGAGTGTGTTTTCGCTTTTGTAGTTTTGTTTACAGATCGTTTATCACCTTGGCGAGGCGCTGATAAGGCGACAACCTTTGCCCGATGCAGGCATTAGACATCTCCCCGGCTCTAGATGTCGACCACATGGCCGGCGAGCAGCAACGTCTTTTCATTGCCGATGGCATAGAAGAACGGATGATTGATCACCAGCGACAAGGTGCTGCGAAATAGATCGGTGAAGGAAGCCACTGAAAGGAGAGAAGCACAAAAGTGCAGCTGTGTAAAGCGAACTTCTAATCGCCAAACTTGAGCGACTCACCAAAAGTTTGCTCGGCCTCGCCGCCCGCCTCCTGCAGCTCGAGCAGCACCGCGTGCGGCACGGCTGTCAAATGTGGCGCCGAGCTGGACAAAAGCGAGCTGAACACCTTGTGGAGCTGCGCCTCGGACGTAAACAGCCTGGCTAGACCCAGCTGCAAGCAGAGAGAGATAGAGAGAGAGAGAGAGAGAGAGAAGTTAGATAGATCCATTTGGTTTGTCAGTTCGAGGATAGCTTCACCTGCTCCAGCGTGGAGCGCAGTTCGGAGTGCGCCATTAAACTGAACTTGGGCAGCGTCAGGGCCAACTTGCGCTCTGTGAGCTGACGGCGCAGATGCTGCAGATCCAAGCGCTGCAGCTGGCGCTCCAATGCGGCCAATCCCTGCGGCCGATTGGGATAAATGATGAGCAGACTCAACCCGGCTGTGGCAAAGGGCAGCTCCACGGCGCTGGCATCCAGTCCGGGCAGCTCTGCGTATCGGAAGCGATGCTGCACGAACATGGCGTCCACCAGCTTGGGCGTCTGGCCCGCGCTGAAGAAGTTGATGCGCTGCGTCTCCTGCGGATCGAATGCCTGCGCCCAGGGCGCGCGCAATGTCAGTGCCGAGACGTGCAGAAAGGGCGTGTCCGCGGCGCTGCTCGCCTCCAGCAATCCAACGCTGACCAGCTCGCCCACGCTATAGTTGCTGCGCCTGAGAAACTCATAGTTAATCTCCTGCGCCGCACTCGCCCAGTCGCCAAAGTCCAGACGCTGCACATCGATGCCCAGCGCTGCGGCACGCGCCTCAAACTCATCCCGGAAGCTGAACGTGTAGCGCTGCTGTGTGTAGAACTTGCTCAGAAAACGCAGCTGGCAGCCACCTCCTGCTGCCTCCTGCTTGAGTTCGCCCAGGAGCTGCTCGAACTGGCGCTGCGCCTGCTCCGCGCTGCCCAATTGCTGCAGCTCCAGCGCCACGCGCAGCTGCTGCGCCGCCGCCGCCGAGTCGGGCGTGAGCAGGGTGAGTGCCGCCTGCAGCAGCAGCGGGGAGACGGCCACATTGGCTTGGGGCTGCGCCAGACCCAAGCTGGTGGCCAGACGCAGCCCGAAGCGTTCGCTGGAGCTGCTCAATGCTGTTGCTGGCGGATTGCCGCCCGCGCGGCTACTGAGCAGCAGCACGGCGGCTGCGACCAGAAGTTGTCTCCAGTTGTCGTAGATCATGCTCCCGGCTATTTGGGTATTTCCAAGCTTTACGACTAGCCCGTTTTAAGTTCAAGCAGCGGCTGTTGTTGCCGCCAGAGCTCACACTCAATTAAAAGCAAACAGAAGCGAGCTGGAAAATCGACACACACAATTACATTGAGCCGGTTTTAGAGATACACACAAAAACCACTCGAAGATGCTTTTAATTGAAATTCTTGCCTGATATCAGTAGTAGGAGAGAGGGGGAGAGCGGGAGAGAGGGGGATAAAGCATGACAGCTGAATGAAACGATAGTCTGGTTGATTCTCTAGTGATTGACCTAATTGGCAGCCGTGCCAAGATTCGAGCTCAGAGCCATTAGAACAATAAATAAATATAATCTATTCCAAGAGAGCATAAGTATGTTTCGTTGTTATACACTATGAAGCAGGTATATTGACTACCTTAAGAAATAGAGAACATAACATGTAAACAACTCTTTCTCTGTCGAAAAGCTACTTCAAGATATCTACACAAAATATAGAAATAACGAGCTTCGCTCTTCTCTCCGATTCTCAAATATCTGTAAGTTCGTTAGCCACACTCCTATAAGGGTAATTAAACATCGGCTAGCTTTATTATGTTCCTAACATCTGAATGCTCTATCTTTCTTTAATCTATCTCTTGAATATCCTGTTTTTCCATCTCTTTAGAAAGAATCTTATATCATTCCTCTCCAGATGAAAGGTGGAAAGTCTGATAAACTGATCTCTTATAGCTCTCATTTGTATTGTCTGTCAAAAAGTGAGTTTCTATCTTTTTACTTAAGCAAACCCAGCTTTAAACAATATTTGCAGCTAAATGCTTCAGATTTCCACACAGATTTATTATCATAAGAGTATTTATATTTAGTCTGTGACAATCTGAAGCTCACTCTCATTTTTCTTGGCAAGAGAAACTGGTTTTCTTATCAATTGTTTTGCGAATAAACAAATATATTTATGCGATAAATGGTTCAAGTTCGCATAGCCTCAGTCTCCCCCCAAGAACCTTTCCCTCCCCTCGCTCAGCTTTTTGTTGCATTTTGCGTTAAGTAGCAAGTAAAATATGATGCAATTTTCTTGATGGACAGTTCATTAGTTTAATTGTTGGTTTTTTTGTTTATGTTTTGTTTTTTTTTTTCAAACGGGATTTTTGCATTACTCATAGAGCAGTAGTTCTTAATAAAGCTGGACTTTCCAGAGTCAGTTGTGAACCTCGTTCAATTGAGGAAGTTTCGATTGAGAAATTTGCATTTGTTTATGTGCCAGCTCGAGCTCCCATTAGGGCGAGGCACTTACAATGTTAACTGCCGAGGGGTCGGTCTCCTCCTGAAACGGGTTTGCCAGCTTTCGCGTATGCATTGCGGGAAAACGTACAGAAACAAACAGAAAACTGAGCAATCGGCGCTGCCCAAAGGTTATCACAGAACAGAACAAAACACGAACGAGAATATGTTGGAAATCTTTGTATATTTTAAATGTGAGAATTACGAGTATGTTGTACAAGTAGCAAATGCGTACACTTAACTTAGAGCTAGGGACGGGCTTATGAGGAGATGGGAATTGGCTGGGAATGGGGATTCACTGCCTCCCGGACACCTGGGGCGGCTCCACTACGTGTCCAATAAAGAGCACCGAATCGGGTGTGCGTATGGCAAATACGAATGGATGATCCGCAACAAATTCGCGCGACTTGACAGGCAGCGACAAGGGCACAAATTTGGCATCTGTCAGAGAGAGAGAGAGAGAGGGAGAGATATGGCGCATTAGGATGAGCTGCACTTTGGATAATTTTGGAGGCCACACTTACAGGAAGCTGCTGCCGCCTCGGAGCCCGCCTCGTTCACGTCGATGAAGGCCTTTTGCAGTATCTTGGACACACGCACCGGCTGCAACAGCATCGCATTCACCTCGGACTTGGGCGTGAACATGCGACGCACGCCCAGCTGCTGCAGCGCACCGGTCATGTCCTGCTCGAACTCTATGCGGAATTTGGGCAGCCGCACGGTGACCATGTCGCGGCGCAGTCGTGCCGCAATCTGATTCAGATCCTGTCGCTCCAGCTGCCGTTCCAGCTGTGCCAGACCGTTCACCTGGTTGGGCAATATGATCAGCATGGAGATCGGAGTGCCGGCATAGGGCAGCTCCAGCGCTGTGGCATCCAGCTCCGGCAGCTCGGCAATGTCGAACAGATCGTCGTTGTACATCATGGGCACGGTAATGGCCGCATTGTTGCCCGTGCGGAACTTCTCCGCCGTGGTGTCCATCTCGGAGAACTCGTTGGCCCAGCGTGCCTTGAAGTAAATGGCCGTCACCAGCAGCGCCTGCGTCTGCTCATCAATATCGCTGGGCTGGACCAGTTCGCGTATGATGCTGCGTGTGGCATCCGAGGCCCAGGCATTTATCTTGGCCGCCGTATCGCGCGATTTGCGCATGTTGACCGCTTCGGTCTCCGAGCCATAATATTGGCTGGCGAAGTCCAGGTACTGTGGATTCAGTTCGTCGATTTCGCGATTATAGTACAGCTTATTGGCGACAATCAACTGGGCATTCGGCAACTGACTATCCCTCCTCCGCACCTGCTCAAAGTCGCTGGCCACGGCCAGTTTATCGCTACCAAACTGACCCACACGTTGCAGCTCGTCGGCAGTTTCGTTGCTGGAGACGCCGTAGAGCATGCCGAGCATCGCGTGCATCGTGGCCGGCGAATAGACCACATTCTGCTGACCGTTGCTGCGCGAGATCGGCTGAAAGAACACTGAGCTGAAGCGTTCCCGGTAGTTGTACTGAGCCGGCGGGCGCGTGGGACCCGCCGAGCTGCCCGTACGACCGGCTGCTTGATTAAAGCCATGCACTGTCACCTCGGGACTTGCAGCTGCAGCTGCTGCTGGAGCGGACGGGGGTAAGGGCTGATGCTGCTGCTGCTGCGGCTGCGGCTGCTGCTGCTGCTGCGGCTGCTGCTGCGGCTGCTGCTGCTGCTGCGGCTGCTGCTGCTGTGGTCGAGCAGTGGGCACGTTCCAGGTCTGCTGAGCCTTGTGCGCTGCGGCGGCAATGCGCTGATCGTTCCAGGTTTCTTGAGAAGATATCGCTTCCATCTGCGGACGCTGCAGATCACGCTGAGGTGGCCCCACGCCGGAACGACTATGTATGGCATCGGGCACCCAAGAGTTGAGGACAACTCTCGCATAGATGCTGGTGGAGGCGGCGGGTCCGATGAACAGGCACAGACTCAGGCTGAGGCTGAGGCAGCTGCCCATTAGAAGCAGCATCGCTGACGCTGTGAAGATTCAGAGCGGGTTAAGACTCTGCTCGGGCAGTTGTTGCCACAATTGTTCTAAGCTTACAATATTTGCACGACATGGCTGCCAATTACTTGCGACGACGGGTGGAAACTTGTTTAGCTGCTACTCTTTACTTTTTTTTCTTATAATTATATTATTTTTTCTTGTTATTTTTGTGTAATTTATTTTCTTTTGCGTCGCGCTGCGTTCGTTTGGCTCCGGCCGTCTGGTGGGCAGCTCAGCTCTGGCGTAGCTTTAATACAAAACTGATCTTGGCAAAAATCTCGCGAATGTGAGAACCGACTACCGAGCACCGAGCACCAAGCACCGAGCACCGATAACCGGTCTAGAACAATGCCCCCCCCCCCCCCCCTCCACACACCCGCCTCGCTCCTCGCTCAGGAACAGTGGGTGCGTCAAGACGAGCAGCGAGCAAAAGTTACAAGCAGAAAAGACAGCAAAAAAAAAAAAAAACCAGTTGAGCAAATCTTCTGGCTGTCTCTCTGGCTTGGGTGCGCTCGCTCGCTCGCTCTCTTGGAAAATCCCCGCGTATTTTTAAATGTAATTACCTTAAGGAAAATATGCAGCACTCGGTTTTCTCAATACTCAATTCCAGGTTTTTCAATTGCCAACGTCGGGGCGTAGCCGTTATGAATGCAAATTCTCGTCGATTTGCATTTGATGCACGTGCGGTCCTCCACGGCCACTCAGCTAGCCGAACTAGCTGAGTCAGCCGGAGAATGTCGAAGAATATGAAAAAAAAAAACCAGCTGAGTGATGCTTATTTTTAGAAATCAAATCCAAGCTAAACTCCTCGATTTCCTGCTATTCACAAATGACGTCAAATGCCACAGCAGCCTGTTGACATTTTTATGCAGCCATTCGATATATGAGTCGACATTCATTCTCTCCGTTTACTAAATGCATTTCCTTAACCAATTCATAAGAGTTCTACATAAATTGTGGCGCGAGAACTAATTAAATATTCCAAAATCTAAATGGAAGATAAAGCCAGGCAACGAGACCTCACACGACCCTCGTCACGACTCGAATGTTGTGCTTAATTATGTAAAAGCGAGTTATGTATGCATTTTATATCATATCAGACACACACACACACTCGCACACATACGAACAACTCTGACCTAATTGCACGGCTAAATGTGTAAACATAATTTACTCCAATTAGAGCCAATGACGTCTTCTCGGCCTAAGTGTGCAGTGCCACGCCCCTTCACAGCACGAACCGCCCTACTCTGTCAGGCACATGCCGCATTCCGTCCCGAAATTGGGGCAAGAGTTACGAGTCGGGAACTGGAGTACGTGTACACAGAACAGAACAGAGCTGATATCAGAGACTGAGCACCATAAAATGCAATCAATAAATTTGTGAAATTCTAGAGCTTCGGAACGGGTTGTGTTAATTACCCAAGCACCAGGTGGGAGAAGAAGAAGTACAAAGAAAAATAAAAAAAAAAAAAAACATTGAGAAAATAGTAGTTTACCTGATGGCTGAAGGGCAGCTGCATAGCTGGAGAAAAAAGTGGAAATAATGCGACATGGATAAATTTTTTGCTATCTTCATTTTATGTCATCTCTGTCATATTTTGACTGCTGTCTTTTAAGACTTGACTGACAGTTGAATATATTTAAAAAGAAAAAAATAAACTGCAAAACAAGCGAGTGAAATGTTAAATGTACCCATTACAGTCATGGCCAAAATAATAGGCAGGCTGTTAACTATTTATACTGCCTGCCTCAATCAACATACCACATATGGTCGTTCCATTAAGCTCTTATAATCTTTAAGAATCAAATTATTTATGAATGCATGCATAGTTAGCATATGTCACAGATCGATAAGGCTCGAATTATACAAATCATTGCACAACTCTATAAATATTTAGCCTTTGTTATTTTATGGGCACGAGGCGTATAAATAATATTAAATACCCATAAAATTCGAATTCAATTAACTGTTCCTTCAGTCAGTTGTCGGCCATTAAATGCATTATAGTGTGCACTAAATTCAAATGGACATTTATGGGCTGAGCCAGACACATAATGCACGACTGTTAGATGCCCTGCACAAATTGGTACACATATATACTTGAGGCACTGTTCAACAGCGAAAGCGAATGCGAATGCGATTCGGTAGCTGCATTGATAACAACTTAATGGGCAGGGTCAGGGCCAAGGTCACGCTGTGGCACAAGCACACACACACACACACACACACACACACATGTGTGTGTGCATGCATGTTGCCACAATTTGTATGCAACATGTTGTTGCTGTTGCAGTTGTTGCTGATCAACCACAAAGCAATTTGTTGGCAACACACACTCAAAGCCACAGCTGCTGGCGCTGTCGCAGTTGCCGCTGCAGTCGCACTTAATTAATTTGCGTGTTAAGTCAGTCGAGCATTAAACTGACAGATGGACAGACTGAAGGACTGACTGGCCGGGCTGTGGGCACAGTGGGAGCCGCTCGAGCAACAACTGGTCGGCAATAAAAGGCGCGAAAAGCTTTGCGCTTGCGCGCCGGCCAACTTTGTCATTTGTGCAACGTCAGCCCCTTCTCTCCTTTCCCTACCCCCACTTCCCGCTCCACTTCGCCCTGCCTGCATCTGCATCTGCAGCTCTGTCAGAGTCGGCGGCTGCGCTGTCGTTGTTGTTGTTGGCGTTGCTTACAACAAAATCGCATTAAATTACACGTTTGCCGCACGATTTAATTTTGCATATGAATACGTATGTGTGCATGTGTGTGCATGTGTGTGTGTGCATATAATTACGGCAATAAATCAGAAAGCGTATTTGCAATCACAATATTTACACTTGTCCCTCAAATGCGGCTGGCCAAAGCTGGCTGCGCGGGCGGACAAGTTGCAACAATGGCAACGAGCCGACTGCCAGAGTTGTCGCCCGTCCCAAATGCAGTTTCATGACTTCCCAAATGTGCAAAAGCATGCATGTGCTTTAAGCATTGTTTCTCTGCATTTGCAGCGACATTTTGTTGAACTGCTGCCAATTAGCCTGCCAATGTAATGAAAAAAGAACGTGTTATTATTTTTTCATGCGTATATTGTCCAGTTGGGCGTGCTGCAAATGTGTGCAGTTCATATTTCACAGGAAAAGTTTGTTCCTGCGGCCCATAGGGCTTGCGTGCCACAGCTGCACATGTATATACACATACATATGTATATATGTATATGTATAAATGTCCATAAATATAATTGAATATGTATAAGTACATAACTGGCAGAGCCAACAATGTTTTTGTCTTGCGTCTTAACGAGCTTGTTGAAAGTTGCTGCAACTGGCCGCAACTCGCAACGCTGCACGCTGCACGCTGCATGCTGCATGCTGCATGCTGCATGCTGCGAGCTCATCTGTCAACATGCTTCATAGAAGATCATAACTGCCCCAAGTATGTGGCCCTCTTGGCAACAACTCGGCTCTCGGCTCTCGGCTCGGCTGGACCGCATCCGGAGCTGCATCAATTAAGGCGACATAAAAGTTCTAGGGAAACTATAATTTTCATGCAACTTAATCACAGCGGCATTTTGTGAAAGCCCATAAATCCGGGACCAAGCCGAACAGCTCCAGCAATTCCCAGTCCGACTCATACTCAGACTCATAGTCATAGTCATAGTTGTTGTTGTTGTTGTCGTTGTTGTTGTACTTATGCGTTTAGCTGCATTTATAGAAATTGCCCGGGTCCCAAAAGTGGACAGCCTCGCACTGACAGCAGCCCAGCCAGGGGGAGGGGCTGGGGCGGGGGCGGGTGCGGCTGTGACGGTAATCGCCGTTTAAATTTGTTCTTCGTGATGCAATCATTTTGATGAGCATCCGATGCAGCAGCCACATTGGAACTCATTCGAACTGGTTCCAGTCCTTACCTCCATCTCGTCTCTCCCGCTCTCTCTCCCTCTCTCTCCCTCTCTCTCTCCCGATCTGCTCGTACGTTAGGCGCCATAATGGGTTAAGCTTAGCACACAATCGCACACACTTACACACACTGCCATGCACACCCACACAACACAGACATTTAGCCAAATGCTCGCACTGAGGTCAGCTACGCTTTTGGCCATTGTTCTGTGCGCTTTTTGGGTTGGTCTCTGGCCAACTGCGCCGCCAGCCAAAAAAGAGTGCCATTCTCTGTGTCCGCCTGCCATTGAGAAAGGGTATATGCAGTTTGTTATGACACTCACGAGTGCACTTAAGTGCGCCTAGAAAGTATAGTTAAGTACTGTCCAAATACAAATTAAGTAGGGTACGGCAATGCAAAGAGATGTAAAGAGATGTTAAGAGCTGATGCACGATTACAACTCGGCATTATTGGCTTTATATAACAAATTTTGAAAAGCTGTCTAAGATTAAATTATATATTTAATATATATAATTGCTTATTTTATTACTGCAAAAGTAAAGAATATTATTATATAAATAGGTTACCTTAAAAATGAATCTCTGTATATAAAATTGACAATTGATGAACAGCGAAAATTGGCGGAAAACGTTTGTGTGACACTTTTTTGTTATTTATCCAACTGTTCAGTTCTTTGTTAAATATAAATACATTCTTTTCTCAAAAGTTACTTGCAAGAGTATATCAAAGTTGCGGTCTGAACATTTTGTTGCTTACATTTTTTGGTGGTCTCTTTGGGCTGCGTGTTTTTTTTGTTGTTATTGATCTAAATTTGAGGTTGTAAATTCGTTAGGTGAGCGTTTCCTTATCGCCAGCATTCCGAAATGTAAGCCCAGGCTTAAGCGCAAGCCTAATGATTGCGGTGCCCTGCCTCTTTAGCATTTGGTTTTCAAGTCCAGTAGAGTGCGGGCCCGTGTCCAGCCTGCTGGCCAGCTTGGCCAATTGCTATAATTTTGTGGGGCTCCGAGTGCGGCTCCGACTGCGGCCCGATGCCAAATGCTAATGCTTAGATTTAAATAAACAAGCTGGCAGCCAGGTTTGTTAACCCGCCGCCTAATGAGCACAAGAGATTTGCGGCAATCATGTGGAATGGCCGTTAGAATTGCAATCAGTTAACGCCTAATTGAGGCGTTGGCTGGCCACGCCCCGCGGCATGCAACGCGTGTGCACATACATTTACATATATGTATATGCATTTGATATACATGGAATTTTAGACACGATTAGCCGGCAGAACTAGATGTACTTTGTATTATTTTATGCTCTTGCTGTTACGCTTTTTGTTTTCGTGTCAATATATCAAAATGCGGAACCCGTTCATTAGAGCGC